AGGCCGGGTGTCTGAGGAGGATCTGGGGCGTCTGAAGCACTCTGTGCTCCAAGGTTTGGGAAAGATGGGAGTGGGGGGGGCTCAGGAAGAAGATGAGTGGGCTCAGATGGAACTCATGGCCTCTTCAATTTTTTTGAGGCTCCCAGTGCATTAAGATAAGAAAAGATATCAGGCATATTTTTAAACCATTAAACTAAAGTTGGCCCTTTTCATGCACAAGCAAACAAAAGAAGGCCACTGGGCTATTCACTAGCAAAGTCTAAGACTTATCAACAGCATGAACTCAAGTGCTGTTGGTGGCAAGGAGGGTCACAGCACAGCACCCGCGTGTCTGTCAACAGCTTGCACTTGTTGGTGGTCTCTGTCACACTCAGGTATTGCCAGGAGTTCCAGCTGAGGTACTCCCTGAAGGGGAAGCCCTCTTCTCTCTCCTCACACGCCCCAGGGGCGAAGCCACTGTTGGTCATCCCAGGCCATTTGTCCTTGCTTGTCCTACTTTGCTCTCTGGAAGACACGGGGCCTCCTCTGGGTGTGGAGGGTGGGGCGGCTGAGGATGAGTTGGCAGCTCCCTGCCTGGTGTGCTGGCTCCATGGGTCCTCTCTACACACCCGGGTTTGTTCAGGACATTTTCTCTGAGTCACCCTTGGTGATAAGACAGGCAAGAGCCTTTAAGCGAGTCAGAGTCACTCAGCATTTGGGTGGCTTTAGATTCTTTACCACTGCAGATTTGATTTCAGAATCTGCTAGCTCCTTAACAAAACTATTGTAAGCTTTGACACAACTGTAGGCATTCTGAGTGCCAAAATAGCAGAGATAACAATAAGCAGAATTCTACACCCTTTGCATACAACTGAAGGAAGCTTTAATCTTTAGCACCCCGCTGGTACATTTATGGATTCCTTCAACCAATATTTATCGAGCCCTTTCTAAGTGCCAAGTATCATGCTAAGTGCTAGAGAAAAGATGGTAAGCAAAGGCAGACGTGTCCCTTCCTGAATAAAGCCTGTAGCGTGCATATGTAGGGGTTGAGAGACCTCACTGAAAAACCACAAAGCAGCATAAACAGCCATAGCATTAAGTGCTAGCAAGGAGAGGTTCATGGGGGTAATAGCACATATTATGGAACCTGATTTGGCTGGCAGGTCAGAAAAGGATCTCTGAAAAATAGATACTGAGCTGGATTTGAGGAACATGAAAGGAATAAAAGAGACAAAACAGTATTTCTAGAAATAAACAGCAACAAAAAGCATATGCAAAGGCCCTGTGGTGGGAGAGAAGAGAATAAATAAAACTGACAAGTAGGTCTGGAGCAATGGTGGAGACTTAGGGTGGTGCCTGTAGGACCCCGGGCATTGTAGGGCTGAGCCAGAGTGGGAGAGACCTACTGTGGCGGGTAGGAGGCTTCAGAGACTCCTGGAATTTCTTTCATCCAGAAAGCAATAGGAAATGACAGAAAGGCTTCAGTTGGGGGCGGGGTGTAAAGGCTGGGGATGTCAGAGTTACATTTGCATTTTGGAAAGATTTACTCTGGCTGCAGAGCTAACATCTCTTGATTTCTGCTCTGTAAATCCAGTAAGAGCAGGGTCAGTATTCAGTCACCAGAAGCAGAGGCTAATATCTTGCAGCCAGGCCTGAATTTGAATCCTGACTTCATGCCTACCTTGGGGCATGGCTTCAGGCAAGCCTGCTTTTCAGAGCTCCAGTTTCCTGGTTTATAAAATGTGGCTAATAATACTTCCTGCATTGTGGTGAGGGCTAAGGGAGGGTAAATACATAAATATTCTTGCTGGTATATGGCAAAACTCTCCCTGGAATTTTTAAAAACAGAAAGCTGCTTCAATACTATCCATGGTGTGAAAGAGCCAATGTTCAAAGTGCAGTGGGACTTCTAGCTTTTGAAAAAAGCATCTTGGATTTCACCTGCATTTCACTTTCTTATAGATCAACAGTTTGGAAATACCTGCCTGTTCCTCTTCAGACAACAAAGCACAATAATAAAACACCCACTCACCATCTGCATGAGATGCTGCAGTCAGGGCTGCTGGTTCTGGAATGAATCAGACGAGGGACCATGGAGAGGTGAGCAACCAGAGAGCAGACAAGGGACAAGGGAGCCTGGCAAATAGAGAAATGAGCCGCAGGGTGTGAGGAGTGTTTGCTGGTAATGAGTGAGAGACTACGGGGTGACTTCCAGTTCCAGAGTTGGGCTGGCAAGTCAGCCTTGTTTTGATCCGTCAAGGATTCGACATTTCAATGCTCTCATCTCTTGAACAGCTCAGGGCCCTGTCAGAGCAGAACAGGATTTGACCTTAAGTCAGGGTCTTGTCAAAATACTCAGCCAACTTTAGGAGGCCAATGATGAGATGGCATGAGCATCAAGGTCATCAAATAAGTCTAAAACCTTGAATTTATAATGATCTCCATTGGAAGGTGACATGAAAATTTGTGAATAAAAGAATCAAACATTTATCCTGTCTCTTTCTGACATGAACTGTACCAAATAGTAGATGTTTTCTCTTTACAGAAGTATTTCAGCAAAAATAATGAAGCAGGAATGATAGAATCAGAATGTCATTATTCTGTAATCCTTAGTGAAGGATTGGATTTTAATGGTTGCTAACATTGTAAAAAGATCCCATTATCTGCATTTGGAACTCTAGTTCTCTTGGTCTCCCTGTATTCCATTGAGAAATAGGGGGTAGGGATGGTTTCTAACATCCTGCAGGCAGTTGATACTTGCAGTAATGAAGAGATTCAGGTTCTGCAGTGTGACTGGGTTGGAATCTTAGCTTCCGAACCCAAATACTCGGGTGAATCTATTTGCTCCCCACTGGCTAATCCTCATGATTGGTGAAATGGAAATAGCAATCAAGCTTACTTCAAAGAGTTGATGTAAAGAGTAGATACATTTCATGCATTCATTTAATAAAAATCGAGCACTTAAGTCTCCAGTTCTGGGAGGGAAATGGATGAAGCAGTGAAGAAAATATAGGAGCTGGGCTAGGCTTTAAAGGGCTACATTAGATGACAGTAAGTGCTAAATAAGACGCAGTAGTTCCAACAGCTAGAACTATGAAGAAAATGCAACATAGCAATTTGACAGAGAGCAACTTCAGGGAAAAGAGAAGATCTGTAACATTAAGGAGGTGGATCTGGGACAGTCTGGCTAAGTGATTGTTGAGTCCCATGTGACAAATGGGAGGTGCCTGCCGTGGAAGATCTGGTTTTCTACCTGCAGTAGTGGTTTTCGCCCACCTAAATCTCCCTGCATATTTGGCAGTGTCTTGGCAGTTGGGTTGCTACAGCTAGGAGAAAGGGGGTGTTCTGACGTCTAGTGGGCAGAGGCCAGGAAGCCTAGTGGTCAGAGGCCTGGGTCCTACAAAGCACAGGACAGCCTCCACACTGAGAAATTAACTGGTCCAAAGTGTCAATAGTGGCAAGGTCGACAAACCCTCGTATAGAGAAAACATCAAGGGCAGAAGAAAGCAAGGAGCTTGTCGGGTTTGGGCAGCAAACGCAAACCTGGGAGTGACAGTGGATGAGGATGAGGTGGAAGAGGTAAGCGAGGCTAGTGCTCCTTAGGACACAGTGAGGAATTTGGAATTATCCCCAAAGCAGTGGACATCCCTTGGAGAGTTTTAAGCAGGGAGAAAGGCAACCCCTGTCGAGCGGGTAGCACACATCGGTGCTCAATAACATTGTCCATTATTTATTATCACCATTGTGTCTTCCCTACTCGGCCCAGCCTGGACCCAGGCCTCAGTGTGGCCGCAGTGACTCCTCCTAGCCAGCAGAGGGCGCTGGTCGACAGTTGGCCAGCGGCCGCCCGGGGCGGGCCTCCTCTTGCCGTCCCCCCTCGTCGTC